TGTGGTGACGCGCTGTGACCTCCGGCTGCTGCCTGTGCACAGTGACCGTGGCAGGAGCACGCTGTCCCGCCCCCGGGGGCAATCTGGGTTGTTTGAGGTCGTCCCCTCTCTGACCCCACCGCGGTCTGCTGAGCACAGGCCTGCGCCTCAGGGTGTGTCCCTGGTGTTGGGGCCGCTGCCTGTCTGTGCCCCCGTGGCTCACGCCCGCCAGCCCCTCCTGAGTCTTACATGCTGGGTCCTTCATTGAATCAGAAGAGGTGCTTGTGCCCAAGTTCCCGAGCCTACGGCTTTGGAGGTTGTCTCCTCTAAGAGGTGGGGGCTCGCCCAGAAGAAAGCAGCTCGCGGGAGGTTCTGAGCGTAACTCGGTGCATGGACCGTGCCGACGCCTCTGAGGAGCAGGTCACCTTGAACCTGGGGTTTATTTAATCAGTTGCCACTGAACGATGCTGAGGGAGGCCCAGCCTCCAGTCCAGGCCAGAGCTGACCTCGACTCCACCCTGTGGTGTGACCCTGGCTGAGGCAGCCCCTGGCGGGCTCGGTGGGTAATCAGCTCTGACACTCAGGGCTCAGGGGGTGTGGGTGTGTGGAGCCAGGACCCAGGTGTGGGTGGAGGAGGAGCCATGGTGGTCGCTGCCTCCCGCCCCGCAGCCCTCCTGCCTCAGGGCCTTTGCCTGTGCTGTTCCTCCTGCCCCACCGGCCACGGCCACGCAGCTCATTCCCTGCTGCTTGGCGAGGTCACGACCCAGACCCCCATTCGGTCTTCCCCGAGCACCTGGCACCGTGGGACACACAGGCAGCCGCCCAAAGGTGGGGCTTCAGGCCCTGCCCACAGCGGGGGCCCTCGGCCCTGCCTCTGCTCCGAGGAGGGACGCCCAGGGGGCTGGAGCCCTGCTGGGAAGGAGGGTTTCAGACGGGCTCGCACGCGGCGCTGCTGCAGGAGCACATGAAGGTGATGCTCGCTTCGTTACTACCGAGCGGTATTTTTATACCATAACCTACTTTGCTGAGAGCTAAGAATATAGCTCGCGCTCGCTACCTGCACTCTCTGCTCTGGTGACAGTCGCCGGCAGCGACACGGTGGTGGCTACATTGGCGCGGGGTCTGCCGTCATGGCCCGAATGGGAGAGGTGAGTGCGGCACGGCCTCCGTCCGGGCCCAGGCCACGGGCAGGGCTCGCGTGCAGGCCCCGGGCTCTGGATCCCGCGCTCCGCTTCTCTCCGGAGCTGGTGACCGTACTCCCTTCTGCGTTGTGAAATGCTGTGATTCCACACCGGCCGGTGGTGACCAGTCTCTGGTTCGATTCCCAGTCAGGGCACATTCCCGGGTTCGGGGCTTGATCCCCAGTAGGGGGCGTGCAGGCAGGAGCTGATCGATGATTATGTCCCATCATTGATGCTTCCATCTCTCCCTTCAGCTCCCTCTAACATCAATTAAAAAACATATTTAAGCTCTGGCCTGTGTGGTTCAGTAGTTGGAGCGTCAGCCTGCACACCGAAGGGTTTCAGGTTCGATTCCCCATCAAGGGCTTGTAACTGGGTTGCGGGTTCACTCCCCGCCCCTGTTGGGTGCATGTGGGAGGCAACTGATTGATGTGTCTCTCACATCGATATTTCTCTCTCTCTCCCTCTCCCCCCTTTTCACTCTCTCTGAAAAGCAATGGGAAAAATATCCTCATGAGGATTAATAAAAAATACCAAAACATTTTATTTAATTTTTAAAATGTATTCTGATTGATTTCAGAGAGGAAGGAAGAGGGAGAGAGAGAGAAACAGCAATGATGAGAGAGAATCATAGATCAGCTGCCTCCTGCACACCCCACACTGGGATTGAGCCCGCAACCTGGGCATGTGCCCTGACCGGGAATCGAACCCTGACCTCCTGGTTCATAGGCCCACGCTCAACCACTGAGCCACACTGGTTGGGCAAAAACAAACATATTTTTAGAAAATGATGTTAAAAATGTTATTATTCCGCTGGCTGACACTTGCCGGCTTGTGGTCCGCTCTGGCCCTCAGCTCCTCGGGCCTCGTCAGGCCGTGCTTGTGCCTCCCCAGCACCAGGCTGTCCCCTGGCTCCCTCTCCTCGTCTCCATGGCAACCAACACTCTGCCCCCATTTGGCAGACGCAAGGCTCGGAATTTTATTTTATTAATTAAACTACAAGGACAATTTCATCTTATTAAAAAAAAAAGCAATTCACACGTCTGTGCAATAAATGTGACTCGTACACGCATCGTTTCCTGGCTCCCAGAGGGACCCTGGACTGTGTGTTAATGACAGCAAAGGGATCTGTGTGGGGTGTGATACCTGTGTGTGTACAGACACGCTTACGTGTGCAGATCACACGCATCCACGATTTTAAAACCGCAGGTGGAATCTCCATATGTGTGATTCTCGATTTGTTGGCCCCCAGCCCTTGTCCGTGACGACAGCTCTATGTCAGTCTTTCTTATAGCCCAGTGCCTGCCAGCTCTCAGATGCAGGCACGTGTGTGTGTGTGGGGGGGGGAGGGCGCGGATTTTTAAACAAAAGATGGAGCCCGGCTGGTGTGGCACCAAAAAAATAATGACAATAAAATAAAAATTTAGCCAAGTTCCTAGCAGAGATGGTTCCTTATGCGTCCACACTGAGCCGCCTGAATCGAGCTGCTTCGCAGGACGGACCAAGCGGAGTGGCGGCCAGTGTCCGCTCCCTGAGGCCGCCTGGTCCGAGGCAAGGGATTGGCCTTTCTGGAGATTTCCAATCTATTTTCAAAAATCTAATTTTCTCTCTGACTCTGACAAAAATGGGACCTGATTATTTTTAAAGCATCTTTCACCACGGCGAGCCGCCTTGTTAATGTAGAGACATAAAAATGCATCATGTAGCGACGAGGTTTTCCAAAAACGATCCTCTTGGCATCGCACAGGAAATGCATGTTTTATTCATGCGAAGAGCGGGATCGATTTAAACGGAAAACATGCCGTCATGTCAGAGGGGCGGCCAGGCGCCAGCCTCGGGGCCTGCACCGTGGACCCCGGTGGGCGCAGTCCTCTGCCTCGTCGCTTAGTTATGCTTCTTTGTGAAGCCAGCGCTGAGCCTCTGTTGATTCTGGAACAGATTGGCACTCGCGGGCACAGATTTGAGAACATTTATGGAGGAAGCATGAGCCACGCTGTTCCGTGGGAGCCGGTGTGAGAGCCGCCCCCTCCACATGACACAGGCAGCCGCACGGGAGGGGAGGGGTGGCCGGCGGGAGCGCACGTCTTCTGATGTGCCTGTCCCTCGAGGAGCCTCTCTGTCCCCCAGCCCCCACTGGACTCCAGGGCTCAGGGCCGTGCCCCGCGCACAGTAGGTGCCCAGCCGAGTGGCCTCGCAGGCTGTGGTTCTTCCCAGTGTGTTGGGCACTCGCCCCGTGGACGATGGGGCCTTGGGGGGCGGGAGGTGCTGGTCCCCATCGACAGCAAAGTCCCCAACACGGACGGTCAGGTGAGCTCTGCTGGGGCCGGGCAGCAAGAGGCCACGGGGGCTGGCCGGGCAGAGGCCCAGCAGGTCCGTGCCCACGCCGCCCACTGGCCATACTGAGGGCCCATCGCCCTGGCCTGGGAAGCATCCCCACTGTGCAGCCAGGTGTGGCCCTGATCCCCTCCAGTGGCCGCGCCGGCCCTTCACCCAGAGAGCCCCTGACAGACGCCACG